TTTGTACAGTACAAAAGATTAATCGAGAATCCATTAAAATATCGCCTATTGTTTGGATTCCCTTCAGGGATAGATTTTACAACGGCTCCAGAACAACTACTATCCTAGGTGGTCTATCGCTCGTGCCTTCGTCATCGAGAGGATCGGTCATATGCGATAGAAAGAAAAATGGTTCGCGGTCCTGTGCCCTGCTCTTATGCACCTGTGTGCTGGGTTTCTTGCTTGCATGGCCAGTTGCTGCACCTCATGCTCATCTCATGGAACAAAACTCGGTAAGCGAGCCTGATTGGTCCTCCATGGAAATTTGCTCAAGACGGGAGACTCGCATAATTCCTTCCATCAACCATTTGATAAATTATCATATCCTCAACTATTTTCAAGTCCTTAAAGAAACTCACGTAGGGGCGAGAGAGAACCTGGAATACGATTCCTCATCTCCTCTCACCCACGTAAAAGTACTCGTACTCTTTCCCAAAATAGCCAAGGTCTCTCAATAGTCATCAAGCACAGCTGCAGAGCTTGATTAATAACGCTCTCTGGTCTCTGGTCTCTGGTCTCTGGTCGAAAATGGAAATTTTGCCTACTATGACGTATTGTAGGTATATATGGTTCTATCGTGCCAGTTTTGAAGGGGAGGAAGAGCGGTTTTTTTTTTATTTTTTAACTGTTTACTCTCGAACAAGCTGAATCTACACAGCCATCCACCTGACGCGGGGGAATCTCACCCCGCCATTTTCTTGGAACAAAGACAGCAGCACCTTCCTCACAGATTCTAAACTTATCAAACCTGCTACGGAGGGAGTAAATCGATCCGACTAGGTACCTTATCCATCCTAAGCCCATATTTCCTCTCTACAATAAATCAACCAATCCACGATACTTCAAAGTAAGTCCAGAGCCGCACCCATCGCAGCATCGCGTACCTTACCTAGGCGCTCTTGTCGAGTAAAGTACTCGCAAGCAACAAGACTAACAACTCCAGCTCCCCCAAATAAAAAATGTCACTCTTCAATCTCATAGCCTCAGTCGCATTAAGCGTCTCACCAGAAGAGTTCTCCGCGATACAAAAAGCTGCGAAGCGCAAAGACTCGGCCTCTACCAGTACTGGCTCATCATCATCATCATCATCTTCATCGTCGACTTCCCAAAACGCTGGCGCTAGCGCCAGTGCTACCTCGAATCCAGGTCCTAGCACTGGAGGACAGCAGGGGGATAAAGAGAGGAAAGAGGCTGAGGCGGAGGTGGAGACTTATAGGCCGGTGGAGAGAGTTGAGGAAGGGGAGGAGCTGCCGAAGTATACAGAGACGAGTGCAGAGTTGCCGGGATATTCGAGGGTGGAGGGGGAGAGGGAGTCGAAATGAAGGACTGATTTAGAAGGGGCCTGCTAAGGGATGGGAGAAATTGTTTGAGAGCTGCTTTCGATTGTGGGAGTTGGATGGATGGGAGTTGATGGAGTTATTGAGGACCAATGGATAGGTGGGAATATGTTCGCGGTTTGGATTGACGAGCTGTAGAGTTGTCGGTGCGCAGGCCAGCAAGGTTCGAGCTCTGCAATTCAGTCTTCTTTTATACAAGTTTTGGGTATCGAAGAATGGATTACAGCTCTAGCTGTTCAAGTGAAAAAGAGCGTTCTTTATCCCCCGGTTCAGGTGGTCGTTGCCTCCCCGGCCTACCAGATTTCCTCGATAGTAAGCTTTATCCCAACAGTCTCAAAGCTAGCAACCAATTTCTCAGCGGTATCTTTATCGAACTCTTGCCGGGTGAATGTAATTTTGATATCGTCAAGGAGAGGTAGATGTTGCTCCTTCTGAATCCACTGATCAAGAAATTCTTGCAAAGTCTCCAGCATCTACACTTTACACTCAGACGAACATAGACACGTTAGCGATGTAGGGAAAACATTGCTAAGATTTGGATGCGCAACTTCCCCTTCTGGGTTATCGAGGAGATTGTACGGTATGGTAGCTAATATGTGGAGCTTTTCGAAGTCGACGAACGAACAAAACACACCATCGGTGTTACGAAAGCACAGACTTAGCGACTCGAGACACGGCTTCAGATGAGCGATTGCGGCACCGAGCTTTCTCAAATCGGCATCTCGTTCGCTGGAGGCAATATGGTGATCTTGCACGAATATGAACCAGGATGGAAATCCCGTGAGGCTCTCGACGCTTAAGAAGCTTTCCTCGATACTCAGGGATCGTGCTGCCAACCGAGTATCTGTCCCGTGCGTGTTGCAACGCATATATACATTGCATTGCAAGACCATATCAATGACTGATTTCGGCTTGAGAAATGGTATCCCGTCGTACGTTGGAATAGGGTGGCCGTCGTATCTCCACAATGTTGACAGACAGGATCTTCCGCAATGGTCCTGATGGATCACTCAATGCTTGACACTGTGCTGCATGCTCGAACGCCCACTGTGGTGAGAATTTGACATGAGTACCATCCGCCTAATTGCTCGCGGTTAAATATAAAGCCATGAGGTTTAGAAGCTGGAAAAGCAAAAGTGCCATGGTGGCGTGCCAGTCCCCTTTCTCGACCAGAGAAGACTACTCCATTCTCTCTTCATGAGTAGAGCAATCTTCGTAATTGCCGTGTAGCATCTGTCGCTGTCCTCGACTGTGTAAGCGACATCCCCCTGCTGCTCTACCCTCAACTCGGCAGCAATATCACCGTCTTCTTCTTTGTTGACATCGCCGCCGAACTTGGTTACTGCAAGAGTGTTGACATAAGTACCAAGCTCAGGCTTCCTTGGAATGAGTCTCAAGAGCCGGGAGAGACCAAGGTCTGTTTCCACTTCAACGTCCTCGTATAACAATGAAGCCACAGGCTGGTTGAGAAGTCGAGAACACAAAGCAAATTCCTTAAATGATCCTCTCCCACATTCCGCGCTATCTCGAGAATGATCTCGTTGGGAAGGATGCCGAAGCACATCATTTTGGATGCGCAGCAGATAGCGGTGAGGGGCCGGAAGTCAGCGAGCGAGATTTGGGAAATCAAACACATATTTTCCCGTGTAGAGCTGCTCTCTTATATCAATAAAAGTCTTCAATGCATGTAGTCTCTACTATCAAGGTTGTCTGAAGGAGTAAGGGAAGTACCCCATGCTGGCGGTTACGTAAGCAGACAGTCACCCAAAGCCAGTCACGACTCCTCCAACCCAACCCTTATACAACAAACCACTACCACCAATTACAGTACTGCTTTGTGATTGTGGCTACCCAAGCATTTCTTCTTCGCTGAGTGGTAACTGCAGACCCAATGGCGAGAGGAGGAGTGTTTTCTTATGTTAGTTTCAATCTGCCTGCCCTTCTCCGCCTCGCAAAACAGCTTCGAAATGTCCCATGCAATTGCGATTCTTCCAAGCAGCCGGAAAGTGGAAGCTGGAATTGGGCAATCTTTATCTCATTTGAAGACGGCTTGGAATGGGTCTTTCTCTCTCCTCGAAAGGATAACAATATTGCCCCAGAAATCGCAGCAAAGCTACTTGAAAGTCATGTCGCAACTTTGAACTTTCTCAAGTTGAACAGCCCAATACCCGTCCCAGAGGTGTTTGACTACAGGTCCGTCATTCTCATACGCACCAGACTCCTCATTCTAATTACCATCACGGCTCAAATAGGTCCAATCCGATTGGGATTCCTTACATTCTTATGAGCAAAGCTCCAGGTTTTCCACTCAGCAGATTTGCTTGGGATGCTTGCCCAGATGGCATGGTTTTATCTCGTAAACCCCGTCCAGTCCTCGGAAGAACGAACAAGGAGAAAATCATGTCGCAACTAGGCACGATATCCTCACAGCTATTGAAACTACGCTTCGACAAGATAGGGTCGCTGTTTGAGGAAGACGAAGAATACCGTGTCAAGGAGTGCCTTTCTCCTGCTCTGATATGGCACCAGCGGGATTCCCTAGGAGATGACGTTGCACGAGGCCCATTTCAACACGAGAACGAATACCACGAATCGCTGCTATCCGCATTTCTTCTTCACGTCAAAGAGCTTCCCTTGGAGCAGCATGCATTCTTCGCTCCAATACCCAAGCTCGGAGAATTCGGATCCTTTCTTAGCCACCGGTCTGCAGTTAGTCGATGGAATGATTTTGTCGCTCTGGGTTCGAAAATTGACAGCGGCAAGAATAGATTGGACTACTGCACCGCTGGACATTCCCTATAGAAAATGATAGCTGCGGCTACCCTACAACCGCTTGCACCTCCGGACGAGTCGAGCAATAGATTCTGTCTCTGGCATCCAGATATCAGCTTGGGCAATATCTTTGTTGATGACGACTTCAACATCACATGTATTATTGACTGGGCATTCTCCTCTACCGTCCCCATTTCGACGCTTTTGATGACTCCAACTTTCCCTCACCCGAGAGATGACGTTGATACGACACTAGTTCCTATCTTCAGGGCTAGTTTACTTCGTCAAATTTGTCAAAGTGATATCAAGCTAGACCAAGAATTTTGGGATTGTACCCGGCGAACATGGCTATTCACGAGGCTGGTGACTCTTGATGGTTTACAAGACTACTCTTATTTCACAGAGCTACATGCGCTAGTGTATAAATCAGAGGACGAGATCAATGTACCAGGGCTCTTCAAAGGCGTACAGACGGAAATGCAAGAACTGGCTGAAACACTTGCGGAGGATGGTTTGCTAGCCAGTGAGATCAAGAGGGGGGAAGAGGAGTACTTTTCTGCCTCGAATTTGGACAGAGAAGCCATAGCTAGAAAACTAACAGTAATGGCGAACTTGAGCCAGGGGTTTGTGGCGGATAAGAGGCTCTGGCGATGGATTGAAAAAGCAATGGCATGAGCTAGTTGTCTTGTAACAGCGGGACTACGGATACCTAACTCCATCCTTCCTATCTCTAAGCTTGAAAGATCCTTGTCTTGCGACAAAAAGTGGGTCAATTCTTCCTTATCCCTCCCAATTTTTTTTAAAAGCCATATGATAGAAAATAAGCACCGATTACATAACAACAACGAAGCAGGGAGGATGGCCGAGTGGTTATGGCGTGTGGCTCAAGATAATCTTCTATCTTTCCTGGTTAAAACTGGGTGTGCTTTCTCATAGGGAAACCTGCAGGGGTTCGAATCCCCTTCCTCTCAATCAACTTTGTTGCACAATTTTTTGTTCCAGTTCGTGGCTTTACAGTGACAGCTGAAGCGAGCGCTAAAGAGCCAAGCGAGCGGGTGGGGTTGAACATTGGATAGATGATGGACCGTAGTTTTTTGCGAAGTCGCAAGCGAAGGTATATAATACCACGACTTATTCTAAGAAAAAAATTTAATATGGCAGGGCTTACCTATTAAGAGTTCAAAGCTTTAATTAAGTATAACGCATAAGAATATAATGAATTTCCGGGATCATCCATTTCCGAACTTCAAAGACATCCAGGGTAAAAGTCATTTCACGATGATTAATGGCATGGCATGGGAATAGGAACGAGGGTGTACTATAAAGCCAGGTATCAACGGACCAGATTACAATAGGTCCCTTAACAACATTCCGGCCGCCTCAATGTCAAAGGGTAAGTTCAGCATTGGATTCTCAGAAGGCTCTCGCTTTGTTCCATACCCGCCAAAAAGCTAAGCGAGGCAAACATTTAGGAGTCAAAAATCAAGTGTAATTGACAGAGCCAAACTCTGTAAGTCTGGTAGGTGGTATAATGATACATGTACACAGAACAAGAAACTCCCCCATCCCCAAGAATCATCTACGAAGGTATCACATCATCCCAAGTCATCATAATATCGTACAGAAGAGTCCAAACTGCCATCTCCTACGCACCAGCAGCTACGCAAGCATCCTGCTGTTTCGAACAATCAGAGAGATTGAAGCCTTTTGCTGTTCCCCCGTTGAAGGCATTTGCGCATGCATTGAATTGCACATCGCAAGATCTTTGAACGGCAGCGGATTTCGCAACGAAGGTGTTGCCCTTGACTGCGAAAGGGCGAGTGGCATCTCCCGAATCAGTGATCGCTGGGGCAGCGATTCCTCCAAGAGCTGCACTTGATGATAGGCTGACTGGAGTGCTGGATGTAGAGCTCGCGACGGCGATTGTGGCATTAGGGAAGAGCTTTGTGGTGAGGATTGGAGAGGCGGCTGCGATGACTGGGGTAGCGGTTGCTGAAGGAGGATCGATAAATACAGTCGAAGTCACTACATCGCAGGTAGAGCTAACAGCAGCTGCTGTTGGAGCAGGAGGGTCAATGAAAACAGTGTTGGTCACGACTGCACACTCGCTTTCAGCTGGCTTTGTGGCGAGGGCCTCGACGCCTCCCAAAGTTGGAGCGGCCTGGGAAGCTTGAACAGTGGTCGTAAGAGTAACCTCCGAAATGACACTGCCTGTTACAGACGCAGTGGGTGGAACTGTGACCGTTGCAGTTACCTAAAAAGTTAGCCTATGCTTGGTTAGGACAAAGAGTGTTTACTTACTGTTTCGGGAGTAGCTGGTGCTGAGGCACTGCTGGCCACGTTGCCACACTTGTTCTTCTGGGAAGTGCATTCCTGGAAAGAAAAGCCAGGGCCGGAGAAGCTGATGCATTTCGTGAATTGATGACCGCAAGCAGCTGCGCAAGCCGATGGGAAGTCATCGAAGAGATCTTCAAAGACCACGAACGACTGTCCCTTTTTACCGACCGCAGGCGGCAGGCCACCAAGTGAGAAGACGAACTTGAAGAATGTCTTGATGACAACGACCTTGTGGACGACGACGACAGTGGTCTGCTTGCCGCCGCCAGCCTTTGCAGTGAAGGCTGGTCTACCATTGTTACCCTTCTTTGTTGTCTCGACTGCGACAATTGAAGGAGCCAAGGAAGATTCTGCGGTTGTGGTGGCTTCGGCGATGATAGAACTTGAAGTGTCCTTTACATTGTTGTTTCCACCCTTGCCGCCATTGCCCTTTCCTCCATTGCTACCTTTCCCGCCATTACCGGCAGCCTTGGTAGATGTTGTTTGAGCAATAGTGGTATTTTGGAATGGAGCTGCAGTAGCGAAGCTCTTGGTCGTTGCTTTACCCCCATTCCCACCCTTTCGAGTCTTTGTTGTAGCAAGAGTAGTCTCAACGGCACTCGATTCGATGGAAGAGGTTGACTCCGTTTGTGACGTAGACTCGACGCTTGAAGATGTTTCGACGGCAGCAATTGATAGCGTAGAACTGGAAGCTGCCGCAGAGCTCGAGGCGGCTGAGCCTCCATTGTTTCCAGTATTACCCCCGGTATTTCCTCCGGTATTCCCGCCAGTGTTACCACTTGCGCCGACAGTAAATTTCGTGCAGTCGTCAGGTGTTCCACGCTGAGCAACTGGCATGAGAACAGGTTGGTGGTTTGACGCAGATGACATTGTGCACACTCGGTAGTTTCCGGCAAGCAGGCCTCCAGTTACGGTAGCAGAGAGGAGACCATTCCCATTTCCAGCATCGTTGATTCCCTTGAAGAAGACGAACTGAGTGGGATCCAGGGGTTGAGTAGGATTGAGAGAGTTGCCCATATCTTGCACAGTCACGTGGGTATGCCCAACAACCTTGCCTCCTTGCAAGAATTGAGGGCCGGCGTAGTAAGTGGACGCTGCGTTGGTGAACGACCCTGCAACAAGGTTGTTCATTTGGACGGTGATTTTGAATGTGGTGTTTGCTTCGATGCTGGTATCTCCTGCCTCGGGGAAGGTGATTATGCTAGATACCATATTTGCCTTGGCTGGGATATCACCCATGGCTGAGAAGGATTAGCAGTGCACAGTGTACACAATGAGTTCTATAACTTACGGATCCCATTGCAAGAGCCAGCAAGTACCTGGAGGCCATTTGTCAAAGTCTTTCCAGCGCAGAGATTGATGAAGTTGTTCTTAGAAGTTTGAGAAGCAGATTGGCCAGGCTTCTGTACGCCATTGATGCTACCATCTGAGAAAGAACCCGTTTGGATGGCATTGGCTAGTAGAGTAGTTCCACTTGCATCATTGTTGTTTTGTCGTTTGTGAAGAAAAGCATGGATGCGTCTTGAGGGCTCTCGAACAGACCGACCCTCCATGAGACCATGCATATGTCTTGACCCCAGGTGACTCTCCATATGACTTGTATCAAGGACAGACCGACTTTCGATGAGGCCGGCGGATGCCAAGAGGACAAATAGAGTGGGGTTCAACATATTGTGAGATATCGAGGTTAAAGCGAGAAGTTGGTATCTTGATCTATCGATGGTCCGGCCTGGTATGAAAGTAGTGCGTAGAAACAAAAAATGAGCGACACAGTCGAAGAAGAGAATGAATAATAGGTCAGTCAAAAAGAATGTGACAAGCACGCACCAAAGAATGTAGGTCGAAAAGATCGATAAGGGAGGAAGACTTGGCTGGGGGCAGAGAAGAACTTATATCCAACGAGCCCTTCTGGAGAAGGAAATGAATTCGGCGTCAATACCCTACCGTTGATCACTCTTAAAACATCCACAAAGACTACCAGGCCTCTCATCGTGGTCCCTCGCGCCCCTCTTTTCAGCCTCGGTGCTTCGAATGACCTATTGCGGAGGTTTCAGTTTCGAGGGGGTAGACGCAGGAACGAAAAATGACGGCAAAGTAGAAGCGAGCAAAGGCATCCCACGAACAACAGAGGAAGGATAATGCGAGGAAATGAACTGGGCCTGCAAAGCCTGACCCAAAGGGCCACAAACTGTGACGCGAGTTGTTACTGATTATGCATCACATTAGGCAAGACAGGGGAAGAGATAGGATAGGATGGATACGAGAGGTCTGAGACGATCCCCCTCCGCTAGACGGCCGAGGTAGCCGGCTTGGGGACGAAACATGAGGTTGTATCCCTTCGAGCCATCTCGCTAAAGATCGCATGAAGCAAACCGCATTGAACAACAGAAAATATTATGCTGCGCATACACAGCCATCCGGGAGATGAATGCGATCCACGACGAGGAATGGCACATATCTTTATCTGTTCTGATATCGAGCAGACTTGCATCGTCATGAGGGGCGGTTGGTGTTGCAGCGCCTATTTCATCCTTCATCCCCTGATGGGTTTCATCTGGAATCATTTGGCTGGACTCGAAACAACGTGCTCAGGGGGTTCGGACGAACACCAATCGACCGCCATGGTCAAACAAGCTTTGCTGATGTGAGATTCATTGGCTGATGAGAGTTATCGAGAAGGTATCAAAGCTTGAGAAGGATCTCGAGTTTCGTCTGTTGCGTGCAGCCAACTGCAATGATCCGCAGCTAGAAGATGGCCATGTAGCATGGCGGATGACAGATCAATCTCAGAGCATTTGTTCCCATCGGAGCCGATATCCGAGTTGGCAAAAATGATTGGGACAGTCACTGGAAGATGATACCGACGGGGGATAGAAGTCTGAGCACCTGCTGTAGAGGCTGGGCAAGTGGTTCTTTGGAAGCAGGAGGTTAGAGCAGAAGCTGAGAAGTGTCTTATCGCGAAGTCACGTTCCGATAGTGAGGCCTGACACGTGATAGGTCGCGTTAGCTCCAAAATTTCTTAGCGTCCAATGTCTCTTGCGATGTCCGGCGAAAAAGGTTCAACACCAGCAAGCCAACAGCATCAACCCAACCCCAACCTCGAGCCGTCCAATTGCGAAGTGTTCACTCCATTCTCTGTAATATACCATACGGCTCAATTTCTTTCTCAGCGACGATTTACGGAAGGTTTTCGGGACTGGGACTGCGCAGGCGATTCTTTACAGACATTATAGAAGATGGATCACACACGAGACCCCTGTCCTTGGGTGGCATTGAATGATTTTGGAGGAGCGTTCTGTATGGGGGTATGCAAAGATTCCCTTCTGCCGGTTCTGTGGTGTCTATTTCAACCTTCCGGGGTTGCGACGACCTACTTCCCCTATCCAGATGCATCAAGCTGACACTTCCAAACACAGGCAATAGGAGGAGCAGTGTGGCACGGTGTAAAAGGGTTTCGAAATTCACCTTACGGAGAGAGACGGATCGGTGCCCTTACAGCAATCAAGGCGCGAGCACCTGTGTTGGGAGGCAACTTTGGAGTTTGGGGAGGACTGTTCTCAACATTCGATTGTGCAGTTAAGGGAATAAGAAAGAAGGAGGATCCATACAATGCCAGTACGTGCCCGGATCCTTG